ACGTGCCCCTCCTTGTCGTGCGTACGCTTCACGCGCCCCTCCTTGCCATGCGTACGCCTCACGTGCCCCTCCTTGCCGTGCGTACGCCTCACGTGCTCCTCCTCGCCGTGCGTACGCCTCACGTGCCCCTCCTCGCCGTGCGTACGCCTCACGTGCCCCTCCTTGCAGTGCGTACGCCTCACGTTCCCCTCCTTGCCGTGCGTACGCCTCACGTGCCCCTCCTTGCCGTGCGTACGCCTCACGTGCCCCTCCTTGCCATGCGTACGCCTCACGTGCCCCTCCTTGCCGTGCGTACGCCTCACGTGCCCCTTCTTGCCGTGCGTACACCTCACGTGCCCCTCCTTGCCGTGCGTACGCCTCACGTGCCCCTCCTTGTGCCCCTCCCTGCCCCTAGGCCCCTCCCTCTCGTGGGCCCGGCAGTTTTTACTTTCATGCGTTACCGTCAAGGCTGCGCAGTCCTGCCGCCGTTGCGGGGCTCCGCTACAAATGCTAGAGATCTTGCCAGCCTTCGTGAATATTATGTTCAATTTGCGACCGAATTTTCTCCTATTATCAGTTACTAACTCGTATTACGGCGTTACTGATGATGATATCTCGACTCTTTGGTTCATTGGTCCCTTGGGGAACTCGTAGTATGAAAATGAGAGCAGGAAGCTCTATGTGGAATTCAAGGTCAAACGAAACTAAGAGCTGCCGCTGCTCTAGCTGCAGCTTTGCTCACGATTCATCGTAACTTTTCAATCATCCTTGTTGTTTCAATGTCTAACATAATTCATGTTTCTTCTAAAATTGAGAATTAACTCTTGTGTTTAGTTAAAGATGCATGGTTATCATAACCCAGTTTGAGCGCAACGCTCCAGATGCTGCCATCGTAGCCGTCGGATCAGGAATTGCATTCTTGGGGCTGTGTGCGCACATGTGCGTGATATGATCGTAAGTCATACGATCACCCCAAAAATTTATTCTACGTTTTAGTTTGCCAAGAACTTATTACACGTTTTAGTTGGCGTGGTTACTTTCAAACCTACTGGTCATTGACATGCCGGTTCATATCGGAGGCAATGACTGATAACTTTCGTATGAAGTGATTCGTATCTTTAGGGTAACTTAATTACGTTAATGAGCACACTGGTGATGCCTCCGCAACTAGTTTTAGTGGCAGAATCGATAAAGATTATAATTCTTGGGGCCTCTGTTTTTTTGTGTTTACCCATCGAAGTTTTTACCTGGAGCGTCTATTCACAGCCTTCTATGAATTTTTGTATTAAATTGTGAGAAACTATGCATTGGTCCAAATCATTGGCCCATAACCATTGTGATGGCATAAAGTTAAGTGGGACATCAGCTATACATCGTGTTTACAAACAAGAAAAAATCCTAGATTCTTCCGGATATCATCAAAACATTGAAAACGTCTGTATTTTTTGTGTAGGTATGACTTGGGTTTTCTAAGTGGTAAATTGAAGTGTGACGTGTATAAGATAAGCACTTGACTCTCCTTGTAAGAGTATAATGTAAGTTCACCTTGAATAACACTGCGTGGGGGCTATACCTTCGTAAACAGGCAATTATTATCTCTCCAATTCATGAAACATTGTTCGATATTTTCGGTATTAGGTTCCATTGGAACATTTCCATCTTTACCTTTTGCTCATATACAGGCTCTAATCCTATACGTACGTTACAGACTTGCTTCGCGCTGTTGCCGTCAATGTGGCCTTGCGAAGAAACCGCGCTAGGTTTTTGCTCTACGACGACGCCGTAGGGTTGAGTAGAACTGAGACAGTTGAAGTCTCTTGGTACATATCTAGGCCTGGTATTGCAAGGCAGGGTTTTTTTATTTCGTGATTAGTCTAAACTTAGCTTGATTACGTGGAGCGTATTATTTCTTTTTTTATGTACGGAGCGGCGGAGAACAACGCCTTGACATTTGGCTATCTCAGTTATGCTCCGGACGGCCAGCCTGCCTCCTGTTTCAGCTCTAAATGGTGAAGTTCAACCGCAGCTTGTTGTTCTCTGGCCAGTCTTAAGACTACATTATTTAATTCCCAGTCTGTTGTCATGTGGAAAATTAGAATTTTTGTGGAAATTAGTTATTTAAGGATTATGTGGATCCCACGCACGGTGCACGGTGCTCGGTCCCACGCGCGGTGCACGGTGCTCGGTCCCACGCGCGGTGCATGGTGCTCGGTCCCACGCGCGGTGCACGGTGCTCGGTCCCACGCGCGGTGCTCGAGGCGCTATTATTTAGATGCTGCTAACTTGTCATCAGTGTGAACAAATAAGTTCGTAAATTCACAAGCATCTCTAACACTAATGTCGTCTTCTAGCTCTCTAAGTGTTTGATTAAACGTAACGTCTTGTTCATCATCGCCATGTGTTGTTTATGAAACTTTCGTTCGTTCTTTGGCAGATTATCGATCGGGCCTTGAGTGCTTCTATTGCTTATTTCTATTGCTCATAGTTTGCATTTTTCAAACGCTAGCCATGTTAAATGAGCTATTAACCAGCTCTCATCCACGAGTATAACTAACGGAAAGGATTTATGTATATACCTACGACAATTCGTCGACGCAAGAAGATATAACTCCCAATACAGTTCCATTGGCGCTTGATTTTATTGATGTTTTGCAAAACTGGAAGCATAGACGTATGTACATAAGTATGATAGTTCGTCACTGTTAGAAGATGCAACTTTCAGCATAGCTTGACTTCTGTTGACCTCCCATCCCCCGCTGTTGTAACGCCCCGGAATGCTCGTGTCGTTCAAACATGAGCCGCACAATTCTTGTCGCAAGGTCACTGGCGAGCTCTACTGGATCGTTCACACTTCCTGAAGGCTGTGGGCGAGGTCTTCCGATCCCCCAACATTTGTAATAGTTTGTTCCTTAACTCATGACCTGGCCAGGACAATCAAAACTCGCTTAAGAACACGTAGCGGACTATGTGCACGTAGCATCCTAAGTACACGTAGCGGGCTATGTACACGTAGCGACCTATGTACACGGAGCGGCTTGAGTACAAGTAGCGGCCTAAGAACAAGTAACAGTCGATTTTTCTTTTGCTTTTTGTGGGTTTAGACTCAGAATGCGTCTGTAATTGGCTGACTGAATCACTAACTCCAAATTATTGTTGATAGCCCGGCCCTCGACATACAACGAAGCGATGTTGATTTTTGCTTCTATATCGCATGCCTGGGATTATTTCTCCCTAGCTTCAGTATGTAGCTGTAGCGTTGATCGCTTTGTTCGTTGCTACCGCTGCTCCACTTTGAACTGGAATGCTCTAGTCGCTGTATAACTATTGATCTTGTATAACGAAATCCAATTGATTCCGATTCAAAATTTTAATTTAATAAGTATTAGTAATTTAACTCTGAGCGCGGTATGGAAGGGAGATATACACAGATATCCGCGATATTTTCTTTGCAGAGGCATAAATAAAAGTCGTTGTATAACATAGTAATTATATTGGGTGCAATGGTTGAACTGCCATCATTACAACACCTGCAGCTAATCAGCTACGAACTGTAACGATTACTGCTTTATTCAGAAACAATAAACTATTAAGTTGCAGGTTTGTAGCATGAAAAACATAACAAGATAACATAAAAACACGTGGTTGTTTAGGTTAACATTTTGTGCACATAACAACATAACACAACTACACGATACACATAACAACACGGTGCACATAACACAACACTGTGCACATTACAGTTCGAATAACAGTTACCTGACTGGTATAAGGCGGTGCCCCACGCAGCCGCTAGCTGCGGTTACGATGCAGCTTCCTGCTGCCCTTTAGCAGGAGTGGATCTTTTCTGAGGTCCTGACCTCTTAACGGGCAATGTTTTTTATTATTATTTCATTTTCCATTTGAGGCTGCTGCATGTTCCCCGATGTCATCTTAGCAATACTGCACTAACATTTTACGTTCACGAGCAATAGTGCACTAACATATTACGTTCACGAGCAATACTGCACTAACATAACGTTCACGAGCAATACTGCACTAACATAATACGTTCACGAGAAAAACTGCACTAACATTTTACGTTCACGAGCAATACTGCACTAACATATCACGTTCACCGATGAGTTACACATTTCAATTGCGACTTCGATTCCTCTAGTGGAATTTGTGCACCTCTTTTAAAATTAGACACATCATTTCATATAATAATTTGACGTTAATTAATAGGCCTTTTAAACATCAAAGTTTTAAGAATCTCTCCGATTTTATTGCATTACCTAAATCGGTCATTCGAAATTCTTCGTATCAGCAATACGTGTCAGCAGAATTTCACTCGAGCACGCCTGTAGTTCAACATTTATTGAGGTGATGGACAACAGCCCCGAGGTCTTAGATGATAAGAGGTATGAGTGATGCACGCACACAGAAATGAATGGGTCGTATTGTCCATAAAGGACATTTTCTGCACTTCACACTGATACGGCTTTCTGGTAAAACTGGGTCAGGGTGAGCCACCAAAAGGGAAAATGTGCATCGCTACTTGTGCAATCTCACTCAATTTTCTGTGTGCAGTGACTCAACAACCACTCGTATTGTCGTGGTTGTGGTTGTCTTCTATACAGAACATGTGTACTGGACATGTGTTGAACATTCGATGTGTATTTAATGTGTAGCCCTACACCTCAAATTACCGATGATGTTTCTTGTGTTATTTCCGCTGCACACACGTTCTGTTGTCATGATAGTTGGCTGTACTATAACGGGAATGAATACTACTTATATCTTCTTGATAAATCTGTCATAAATATGATCAGTGATGTTTGACTGCACGAGAAAATCATGCACGTTGTGAAATCGCAGTAATTTACCATATTTCCTACGTTTTTTGGTAAACGTAGTTAAAAATTTATATTCCGTGCTTTGTTTGTTCCTTCCACAACACACACGGCCGTCCTGTCATTACCTCCCCCAACAGGTGCCTGCAGCACCCATGACCGCTCTGTCACCTGTCATTACTCCCCCAGCAGGTGTGCGTGGTGGGGGCGCTGGGTGTTGCATTGCCCGGCGAAGTTCTCCGCTACGACAACGGGGCCTCCCGCCGCCAGGAGGAGGGGGAGCCTGGGAGGAGGGTGACGGGGGAGTGGAGGTGAGGGGGAGGAGGGTGACGGGGGAGTGGAGGTGAGGGGGTATAACGCTGTGTGACATTAAGGACTGTATAGTGCCGGAAGACTTAAATTTAAGAAAGCGAACTATTAATAACTTATCTTAATCATTATGAACAAACTGCTTCATTAGTTAGGTGTACTGAAATGTGTCCTTGATTGACCTTAAAGTCGCTATACATTATTTTATTCGAGCGACTTATTTCAAACCGATTACGAAAAGATAATGTTGCATCACTAACAAAATTTAGAGCCGCCCCAGCTTCTGGTACTTCAATCAGAAGCTGACGCGTCTGTAAATTTTCAATGGGATTATATTTTGCTTCATAGATACGATTGTATTGTATTGTTGTATGGAACAAAACATAATTATATTGTATATGCATTGTTGAATTATATTTTGTTTCATAAAGATGATTGTTGGCCCCGTTTCAGCCGGAATGATACTGTTCATGGCTCTAATCTCGTGTTCACACGTGCAGTTGGGTGGACGCTGCTGGACACAATCACCGCGTCCGCTATATCGCTGATGAATTTGGCTTCAAAGCTTTTGGATCCGTAGATCCTCGGAGCGATTCAGGTGCCAACAGCGGCACCGTAAAGGAAAGTGATCTTTTGGCACCGACAGGAAGCAGCCGAAGCCTTAAGAGAACGGACCGAAAATTGACGGATGTTACAACGCAATCGCCAAGACCGATTCTCGAGACAACGAATTCTGCTAATTTTGTCGTGTTGGAAGAAGCTGATCTCAAAAATGGAAGGCACGATCAGGTTAGAGCAAATTTGGTGCCCAGTGATGATAAGTCGAGGAAAATTAGCGCCGTCGAACGCATGGCTGGCATATCTGTCGGAGAACTTGCAAAGTTGAAAGCCAAGTCCGACGTCAAGATGCGAATGAAAAAAGGAGATCCTACTGTTAAGTTGGAGCCCAGTGCCATAGGAAAGATGTTGCTTGGTGACGTTTCAAGATCGTCAAATGATTTGTTTCATTCCGAGTTACCAAACCCGATAGACGGCACCGACTTCGTCCTTATTGACAGCCTACAGCCACCAACCGTCCCAAAACAAAGAACTCCACACATTCGAATTATTCCGGTCCTCGTGACCGCGAGTAAGCCCAAAGACGTGATCTCTGGAGTTCATACTTCGTCCAAGTCGAAGTCATTTTCGGCGTTGGTTACTCCTAACCCTGAAGTCACCAGCGCTCCAAGAAAAAGCATCGTGCCTCAGCCGCTCAAAGTTGAGGGAAACCTCAATTTTGATAACTTTTTCTCACCCATAAACTTGGCCAAAATGACTCCACCTCCATTTGAAATTGGTTCTCTAGATGATTATTACTACGATTATGATTATTACGACTATGCTGATCTATCATCCAATACAACCACGAACAGCACAGACGTCCCTGCTCCGAATATTGTTGAACTCGACGAAGAGAGTAGCAGCCAACCTACGGACTCTCCAAACATTCCTTCAACCACTCCTGCGACAGCTAAAGTTTTACCTCGACCTCAGTCTCCTTCATTTGGGCAACTACGTCCAGTTAAAGTTATTTCGCGATTTAATTCTGAACCTGATAAAGGCAGATCAGAAATAATCTCAACGCCCTCTTCGTCTCCCGTATTACCAGAGTCTGAACGTTCATCGCCTGCTCCCCCAGACACCACCACCACTCGTAAGAGGGTCGTCACTACCACAACAGACGCCCCCAGGCTGCCATCCTCACAATTCTCTTTCCCTCCAACTTTTCCACCTCCTCCGAGAATAGGAAAACGAATAGTAGAACCTATTCGTCATAGTTCTGGTGGAGTTCGTAGAAGTAAGATGAGTAGAATTGATGATAACAGTGCCAGTAAAGAGCATCGGAGCTCCGAAGACGAGCTTGATAATAGCACAGAATCCACTCAAGAACGCGATGATTGAACAGCCAAAAATTCCAGAATCTGCGTCAAGTAGACATTTTTTTGTTTAAGTGGTAAATAGCTCGTGAAGTTCAGCCTAACTTCTGATGAGGCGAGTCCCATACGCAAGTTGAACTTTGCTTGCCCCCCTTTAGCCACGTTTATATTTTGTACATAGATAATTTAGTGTCTCTCGCCTCAATATGTGCCTCCTTCTAGAGCTGTGATATTCCTATGTGTTGTTGTGTGTGCTCTCTCTAATCGACTACCATGCAGCTGATCGAAGTAATAATCCGTACATTTCATGCTAGCTTCCCATTGTATAGATGGTAGTTGCGGACAATAAATGCTAGGTTCCCATTGTATAGTTGTATACATTTCATGCTAGATTCCCATTGTATAGTTGCGCTATTTTATACTTGCGCGCATATCATGCTAGGTTTCCTTTGTATAGATGCAGATATCTCATGCTAAGTTGCTATTGTACATTTGGCCACGTTTCATGCTAGGTTCACATTGTATAGTTGCGTATATTTCATGCTAGGTTGCCATTTCATAGTTGCTGACATATCATGCTAGTTTCCCATTGTATAGTTGTGCACATATCATGCTAGCTTCCCATTGTATAGTTGTGCACATTTCATGCTAGGTTTCCATTGTATAGTTGTGCACATTTCATGCTAGGTTTCCATTGTATAATTACGGATATATCATGCTAGGTTGCCATTGTAAAGTTATTTGAATTATATAATTGTCAAAGTCGGTGTTTTATGAAGCTGCAATTTGAAAATACCACGGTTATGGTCTCTACTGCTGCTGAATAATTATTTGTTAATTCTATTAGCGGGTCTTTCTGGTATTAGTTAGATACTGAATAAGTCATTTTCTATAAAATTCTTCCTGTAATGGAATGAGAGATAGTTACACAAGGATACTCTTTGGGTGAGGGATATATTTTTACTAAGAATTCTCTCGATCGAAAGGGAAATGTATTTTATCTGAAAAGTGGTAGTAAAATATTCGAGCTTAACATTGTTCAGAAAGAGTTTTATAAGGAGCATTAAAATGTTCATCGTGACAATGATTGTAGCCCGAATATTGGCATCCTAAACTTGAATGCAATGTCACTTGCCGAGAAATGAGCGTGACTTCGTCCAAATAACTATGAACTTCTTGCCCTTCTTTAGGTAATCCTGACCCAGCAGGACGTATCAGTGTCTCTGTGGGTCGGAAGGTTTGCCACTATTGGACACTGATCCATTCATTTCTCTATGTGTTCACTTATTAATCTTCAGTGAAATTTTTGTAGGTGCAGTATTATTATACTTTTTATTCAACTATTTGTGTAATATTAGTAACATTCTATGAACGTGATCACCTGGTAAAACATTTTGAAGCTTTTAATTTTTCATTTTAATTTTTTTTCTGGTTTCTAAGAAAGATTTCAAATGATTCTATTCTCAGTGTTTCGAAAGCTCGAAATTAATTTACGTGGAGACGCTGATATTTGTCATTTCAATATAATATATCTTTGTAATGAATTAGGTTAGCAGAGAAAAAATTGGAAAAGGCCTGTTTGCCATAACGTTTATTGTTAATGTAAGGGTAATTAATTTAATCGGTCGTTTCGGAGGCTAGCGTCAGCATTAGTTTAGCAAAACGCTGACCAACCATTATTAATGAAAACAAGGAAAGGGTTAGAACATAAATCGAGAAATCTAGGAATATGGTGAAGGGCAAAAAAGCCAAGTGCTGATAAACCTATCTATTAATAATTTAATGAAGGTAATTTCGAAGAGAGTTATAGCTTGAAAATAGTCGGATTATATAAGTTTATAGCAGAAGGCATATAAACATGAGGCGAAATTTTTAAATCTGTATATAACGCCTGTAGGTGGTCGATATGCATGTAGGTTTGATATCTCATAGTGTATACTAGATAGTCACCGTATCAAACAAACTATGTCCGTCCCATATCCGGAGTGATGAGACATACAGGTACAGTAAGGGCAAACTCAGAAATATGAATGGGTCATATTGTCCTAATAGCGACGCTTTCTTACCCGCAGCCCCCTCAGGGGGGACTTCTGACGCGTGTCTGTGCGCGTCAGAAGTCCTATGGGATTTCGCGCTCCAAGGGGGATTGTTCCTGAGCGCCCCACCGCTGAGCTCGCGGTGTCTGACTGCAAGTCTCAGTTGTGCGGTTGAGTTATTATGTAGGTAGGATTCCTTACATTTCCCTCCTTTGTCTCTCTTACTTCTTTCGAGCCAGCTTCAGCGGGCTGGACAATTGAGACCTTCCGTCCCTTGTGGGTGAGGATTAACTTTAGATTTCGAATAATTGAGACCATCCGCCTTGCTGGCGATGTTATATTTTGACCTTCGGTGCGAAATAGCTTGATAGCTGAAGCGCTAGCAAACCATTATACTACCACTACTACTCTTACCAGCAGCACAAGCAGAGAGCTGACGTAACGCCAATACGCATTTTTGCCGGTGTAAACTGGGTTGGTATGACCCACACACAATCAAAAATGCATCTCTATTCCGACTAAATCTCTGTAATTTTCTTGAGTGATGTATTGAAGAAGGAAATGTAGATTGATGCGCGATTTAATATAAGTAGACCGTGCGAAAGTTGTGTCCGCAGGTGGCATGAATGAATGTGTATGTATGCCATAAATTCTTGTATCTGCACTGTCAAGTCATTGTCATGCATGTGTACATTATCATACATGTGTAAATCTTGGCAGCGATTGTTGCTGCTCAATAAATTTGCAAGGTTCAGTCTTGGTCAGTCAAAATCCTAGCAACTTCGGTTAAAATACCTTTTTTCATTTTACAAAATCCATATTGATCAAATTGCTGGCTATGATTCTATTTAAAATTGTGAAATTACTTACGGTTCAATGACCATGCGTATCCGTTACAAAGTATAAATTCAAAATGTATTTCTTTTGTGGTATTTTTAATATACCCTCCAATATTTGGAATTGGTAAATGGTAACACATCCCAAATTTTTGTGGCTGGGTTCATAATTCAAATTTCTGGCTCCTGCCAATTTCAGCCTGTACAGCCTTGGAAGTCAAAAATTCCTTGAAACCTTAACACTCGTTCTACCAGCTCATTCAAGGAGATTGATATGAAGGTATGGTAGCTAGGCAAAAAATTCTTTTCTGATTAATTGCGTGTACAAAGTTTTGTCTAACTCTGTGCGAGAGATGTTTCAATCTTTGGAACAGGCCGTGAAAATGTCTGACTTGTGTCCCAGCATGAATCCATCCCACCCACGCAAAATTACTTTAGAAATGGAACAATTAGTTTAATTTGACAAACATAAAACTTAGAAGTACTTCTTAATTTTTCAAATAACGAACTTAAATATGTATTATTTGCACTGAGTAATAAATGCGAGTAATTCTAAGAGGCAAAAAGTTTCCTTACAAAAGGACTCGTGCGCAGGTTTCCACTTTCCGGTAATCGTGGGACTTGCGAAACGTTGATCTCAATATTTGGGAGACACAGATGATCTGCAAGTGTAACTTGTAAGTTGTAAGGCTGTATAGCCTACTCTGATTCTGGCTGCCACATGCTGCATTACACTTATCAGTGTCCTAAAAGTTTTTTTCTGTACTATAGTGTACAGTAACCTGAAATATCCGCTGACTCATCTGCCTATGAGGCTATGGCTTCGCCATGGTATTGAAAGTGGGCGTTTGTCGTCATTTGGTTGGTACCGTTGCTACTTCGTAATCTGGAACTTATGGAGATGGAACTTGGACGTTTGGACTGGTCTTTTCGCTGGTCCACTGACCACGTGTGAGATTATAAGTTTGAAGAATATTCTAGCTAGACAAAAGGCTTCTTTTTATTTCTGCCAACTGGCAACTGAGTGGTACAACTTACGAGTTACGCCCTATGGTAGTTTTCAGTTTCACAAGTGTATTCAAGAACAGATTCGGAAATTGTGACATTTCCATTCCTAGGTAGGCCTATATATAAACAGGATTCATAAAATTCTTACAAAATTCGTTATTGTCATTCAATTGGCTACTATAAATGACAATTTTACATTCGTTCCCATGAAGGCCATGATCATGAGTTTAAATTCATGACCAATGATGCGCATTTTTACTGGCTGCAGGCCTGCATCTGTAGAGAGTAGAGACACATGCTTAAGCTGTTAACCTGTTAAGCCAAGTTAGCCAACACATGTAATGATGCATTGGGTAGCTGCAAAAGTGTCTCATTGTTCTGCCACTGATTTGTTAAAATAACCTTAGCCGGGCTCAGCAGATGTTGAGCATTAAAATCACAAATACTACCTCTTGCTTGCTTGTTCAGTTGTTCAATGTTTAGGTGATGGTTGGTGGTCCCAGAAATTATGAAAACTTTTTAAATAATGTTTCTCAGTCATATTATTACACTATCATTAATTTTTGCAAGATATTCATCTATCTACAAAACTAATTATCTGTCTAATTTGTTCATGTATGATGTAGGGTAAACGCGGTATATTCCGACACATTAAGGACGCATCGAGAAATGAAAAACTATAAAAAAAACCATATGCGTTACGTAAGTTCTGTTGCCTTCACATGACTCTCAAAACACTTCACTACGCGTCAGCAACGATGAAACGTCACAAAATGTTGCCATATTTATTAAAAAGCCTTTAGAATGGAAACCTACCAAATCCCTATATTCCGTCACTTTGTTTGGCAATATTCGACACGTGGTGAGTCGTATTGCGTCAGCGCTTCAAATTTAACTGATACGTATTGCCGACATCCACGTGTTTGAATTCCGTTTGCGGTGTGAGCTGTATTGGGATACAACACGGCTTTGAATTAGAACACTAACGAATATTGAACACTACTTAATTACGTTTTAATTAACAGCTATTAGGCTTTTAATTAAGCATTGGCATGCATTGTCTCTCTTTGGATCTCAATATTTTCCCACTAGATGGCCAAGACCTAGTGTTTTTGCAGTATTTCAGCACGCAAATGTATGACGTCACCATTTCAACCATCAATGAACGCATGGAACTAAAACAAAGCTTAATATAAAGGAAAAGCTGGAGAGGTGACGGAATTACCTACGATGTCGGAATATACCGCGTTTACCCTATCAAATTATAAATTTTAAATAATCATCCTAAAATTTTTTGGCTGGAAATTTGGAATGCATGCCACTATTAAATTTTAATACACCACAGAGCCTCAGAGGCACAGACGTCAGACACAGAGCACATGTCTAAGTGCTCATTGATATGATAAAATAGGTAATTGCTGCTTATAAACAGCACACATTTTTCTAAAAGACACTAGACACTCCAAAACTAGCAATGAGAGATAAAATCATTAAGAATCTGAAGACTGAAGTGAAGTTATTTAGACAATATCAACAAAATAGAGCAAAATCATGAAAAAGTTCATATCTGGAGACTGGACGTGTATCAAGAGGTGTTTAAATTTTAAAGCAACTTTCCATCATTTAAATCATAGTGTGGATCAAATCTGTTTATTGTCAAATCGAATTTGAAAATAAATGATTACCAAAACACGGTGTGGCCCGTGGGACACTGGCTCATCATATGTTCAAACATGAAAATATATAACCTATCCAGAATTCCACACTGGGCCACTGTGTGGTGACAAGCCACTGGACCTCTGGCCAGTAACTCTGATGAAATTGGAAATTTAGAGTAGTTTTTTAATATTTCATTGATAATAATATGATGATTTCTATATTTTTTTACCTTGTAAGTTATATATCTACATTTTATTATTAAATTTGAATAAAAAAAATTATTCCATGTATATGTGTAGATACCATTCCATTCAATTCCATTTTCGGCAGGAGTATGTAGAGGTATCAGTGGTATTTTGGGTCAATTTCATTGAAATAATATTGCAGCAGCTTGTTTTTTTTCCAGGATATCATCATGCCTAGAGCCAAAGTCAATAAAGTCTCCCATAAGAGTTGTCTTACTAACGGTAAATTAGGTTCAAATGAAGATGGTTGTAACGTTGGCAAAATTGAAACATCTGCTGCACTGCTTCAAGCAACCTCAAAAATTGATTCTGCAAAGGAAAGAAGCCAAGATGTTAATATCCAAGAGGATGTTCAGTTTGCAGATATGTATCTAAAAGAAGAAGTTCTAGCTGGTTTACATTCAACTGGCTTCATAAAACCCAGCCCAGTTCAACTTCAGGTGAGAAGACTAATGCTTGCTCTTTGATAGTATGGTGAAAAAATGAGCCATTTTATGTAAGCAAAATGTCATTACTCATTACAATAATCATGTACAATCTAATGTAAGTTTTGGCAGGGCACTGTTTCTTCTAGCCCCAAAGGCTAGAATTATTCAGCAATTTTTTTTAATTTGCTGAGTAATTCATTTTTTTTGCAATCCATTTATCATGGTGAGGTAACGCTAGCTTCACTATAATGGTTGATGAATTATCATATGTTCTAATTTCTGGCCATTTTTGAGCAGGCAATACCTACTGGACGATGCGGCCTAGACCTGATTGTACAGGCCAAAAGTGGCACTGGGAAGACGTGTGTATTCACAGTCATTGCTCTGGAGATGATAGCAACTTCTGCTCCCACCTGTCAGGTATGTGGGGATGACAATTGTTTTCAATGACAAGAAAGTGTTTTTGTTTGTGACGAAGAAGTCATTGATTTTAGAAGTGATTCAAAATTTCGGCCTTGTTGCTAATGTTAATCTCATTTTTGTACAGGTGCTTGTGGTTACACCAACCCGCGAAATAGCAGTTCAAGTTACAAGCGTGATCAACAACATTGGGCGCCACATATCAGGGTTATGTGTGCAAACTTTCATAGGTGGCACAGCTGTTGAAAATTTAGTGAATTGCCACATTGCAGTCGGCACACCAGGACGACTGCACCACTTGCTATCTGCTGGAGTTCTTCCCCCTAAAAATATTCGCCTCCTTGTGCTTGATGAAGCTGACCAGCTCCTGGACTCATTCAGAAATGTAGTTCTTCAAATTGTTGCAGCGCTGCCACTGAACAAACAGATCATTTGCACCTCAGCTACATACACGCCGAGTCTTCAGGACCTCGCAAAGAAGATGATGAGATCGGCATCTCACATCTCGCTAGGCGCAAAGCAACTGCTGGCAGTCACTCAGTATGTGCACAAACTGCCGTACACCGACAACTTTGACCAAACATTTAAAGCCAAGCTACTTCACCTGAAAGGCATCTTGGGCTCGGTTGTATTTAACCAATGTCTCATATTTACGAACTCAATCAACCGTTGTGAAAGCGTCCATGACAGCCTTCTTCGTGATGGCTGGCCTGTTGCTCGTCTGTGTGGTGGGCAGACCCAGCAGGAGCGTCTTAAGGCTCTAGATGATCTCGTCACTCACAGGTACCTATCACCCATCAAAAATACGCTCAACTTGTTTATTTGTTCATTATGTAATATCAGTAGGTGGCAAATGTTTTAAATAAACCGTCTTGATTGCATACGTATCATTATGTGATGTTAAGTTTTTAAAATTCTGCATTATAACTTCAACTTAATAGGTTACGCAAGTTACACGCTACCAGCATTGTTGTCAGTACAATTGTTGCATATTGCAGATGCCGCGTTATGGTGGCAACCGACCTGGCAGCTCGAGGCTTGGATTCCCCGCACGTGTCCCTGGTTGTATCCATGGAGCCTCCCCCTCACCCTCACACTTACCTGCACCGTGTCGGCCGTGCCGGACGCTTCGGTAGCGTCGGTCGCAGCATCGTACTGGCGAGTCAAGGGGACGACTGGCTGCACGTGCAGGCTATAGCCACTGTGCTAGACCTCACACTCATAGTCTTGCCTATGCCTAGTCTGGAGGATGAACACAAGTACAAGGAGCGTCTTCCTCATCTCAGTCCGGAGCAGTTGAAACAGTGGACGTTGTCAACCTCGCACCGACTAACCTATACCTCAACTGTCAACGGCGGAACTTACGACCCCCTTGAAGTGTGGAAAACGACTTCATCTGATGGGTCTCACATCACCCCTTCTGAAGTGCCTCATACCAGCCCCACTGAAGTGTCTCATGCCAGCCTCACTGAAGTGTCTCATGCCAGCCTCACTGAAGTGTCTCGCGCCAGTCCCACTGAAGTGTCTCATGCCAGCCCCACTGAAGTATCTCAGGCCAGCCCCACTGAAGTGTCTCATGCCAGCCCCGTTGAAGTGTCTCATGCCAGTCATGCTCAAGTGTCTCCTGTAACCTTTACTAAAATGTCTCATGCCAGCATAGCTGATTTGTCTCATATTGACTCAAATGATGTATCAGAAGTTCGATTCCAGGACGTATCAAGAACACCTTCCTCTAACTTTTCTCATGGAACTATCTCTGATTTATCGACTACAATTTGTGCTATAGAAAGTGACGTCACGCCCTCAACCAAGAATGAACGTATACGGGAAGAGCTACCTCTTACTGAAACCAGAAACAATAAAAGCATATCTGACGGTCTTTTAAGAACAAGTGCAATGGTACCGATACCTTTTAAATCAAACTTTTCTTTCAACTCTATCTTGGATGAAGTCAAGGCCTTGAATTTGTCTGAAGACGAAAATAACTCAACTAAGGAAGAAGTGATTGTCGGATGCATTGCTGAAGACCTGACTGAAGAAGCGTCAGCTCAGTTACGTACTTCGTTGAGAGAGCAGAAGCTGAGACACTCGGCGCTGTTGCGTCGTATAGACGATCAATGGCAAGACCTGACGATACAGCCAGATAAAGCGCTCCAAGCTCTCATGAGTGGTCGTAGTGGCAATGATCTGCTGGCACAGTTGAAGAGAGAGAAATTTGCGTGTGAGCAACTGAAGAAAGAAGACGCTGCATTGGAAGCCACGGTTTCCGCTGTTTCGGAGCCTCCAGAGCAAAATAATGAAGAATTTAAATTCCATCTTGGAATGATCAGTAATGAAAAGTACCGAGCGAAGCTTGACAAAAAGAGACAACAAATAAGAAGCCGGAGGAGCGAAAATGACTCGTGTGAATCTAAGAACCATCATGCTGACTTTGTCGAGGCAGAAAATACGAAGTCCACAAAACGACATTGCTATAAAGAGTCTAATTTTGAACCCATAGTTCTTTTAGACAGATCTGGTGCAACGTTGAAGCGTTCGAAGAAATCCAAAAATGCCAAAGGATCCGAGAAAGAAAGCAATGTTCACTCGGATAAATATTTCGAGTATAGAGATAGCAAGCCTTCTAGGTCAATATACACAGATAAACGTAGCACGAAATCAAAGTACAAGTGTGAAATTGAAGGTTGTCCAAACGATGCTGTTCTCTCTGATACTGAGAGCTGCAGTTCTTCTGTGATGTCACAAGAAAACTACAGGAACGGTCGGCATAAACGAGACCGACGAAGGGAAGGTCTGTCATGTCCGTTGTGCGAGCGAGAGCGTCTCGCTGAACCTGTTTACAACAGTATTCTCGACAGCTATCGGAAATTTGCGCTCATGAATCATTACGTGACTTACATGGGACGTACTTCAGCCATCATCGCTCGACATGCTCGACAAGAAGAGAAGAAAGATATAGTTTCTCGCCCCAAGCCTCGCTAGTGCACTAGAAATGAACAGTGGAGAGTTATCTTATGTGACCACAAGGATCTTCTATCCACCATTTCGAGTATTCTAGGTCAACGATCAAAGCAATTACTGAAGATTCTTCTCAACTGCCTGTGATCATTGTTTCGTTTGAAGTACTAGCTATTGAATCATTTTCTGTTTCTGCACAAGTGATGGTAAGATGTTGGTTCAAGAATCCGTAGCGTGCCCCCGAAGTTCGTTTGAACCAGAATAATGATGTGAAGTGAATAGCCATTTGTTTGATTTGTCCTGCTCTTTTTTCTTGTGCGTACTTCCCTGCTCCCTATTTTGATTAATTCATTTCAGTATTGTCGCTATGGTGGTTGTTCCGCTGGCTCGGACTGGACTAATCTCGGCTTCAGAAGTCGCTTGAGTACACGTAGCATTCTAAGTAGACGTAGCGGCTGATTTCCTGACTGTCAATGGTGGGATTAGCTTGTCAGTGATTGACTGACAGAGCTGCAAACTCGTAACTTTTGTTGATAGTACTACCCCAGGCTGGTTCTCTTAAGTCTGCTGTCCCTCAGAGGGGCTTCTGACGTGTGTCTGTGCGCGTCAGAAGTTCTATGGGATTTCGCGCTCCTAGGGGATTGTTCCTGAGCGCCCCACCGCTGAGCTCGCGGTGTCTGACTGCAGGTCTCTGTTGTGAGGTTGAGTTATTATGTAGGTAGGATTCCTTAAATTGAGTTATTATGTAGGTAGGATTCCTTAAATTGAGTTATTATGTAGGTAGGATTCCTTACATTTCCCTTCTCTGCCTCTCTCGTGCGGGCGGCCGACGTCCCGTGTAAGCGACCTCTTGTTCGAGTGTCTTCGTTTCTGCTACTTTTCACCTGTCCCTCCTTGTCGCTTCGTCTCTTTGAGATGCGAACGCTGTTTCCTTCGAGCCAACTTCAGCGGGTTGGACAATTGAGACCTACCGCCCCTTGTGGGTGATGAACAAATTTTGATTTGAGAAACTTCCGATAACTGAGACCTTCCACCTCTTTGGTGATGTTCATCTTGACTTTCGGTGCGAGATAGCTAAATAGCTGAAGCGCTAGTAAACATGTGGCCACTAAACTAACTAACTTAAGTCTGCTGACGCAGGATAAATCCAAGGAATACCTCGTAGTGTATTTACTACTACTTCAAGCGCGCAGGAGGCAAGGAGATTTCTCCTGCCAGGGGACCTCAAAGCTCCTCCGCTCCCTATTTATGTTCCTGACATTGTGATTCAGTCACGAGGCGTTGAACTTCGATAATAATAATGATAGCGGTTTCAGCGTTTATCAGGCCGTTGGCCTGTCGCCGACTCTTAGCATCGCAGAACATTCACAACATTTTGCGATCTCGAACTCGCAACTCACTGCTGCAATTCTGCTGTGCCTAACCGCCCGGCGTCCTTGCCGATTCTGGCCAGAAACTGACGCACAGAGCTGGGATCGAACCCTCACCTCTCTGAGCCAATTTTTGGTTCTGTGAACTTAAACCACTAGGCCACCCTGCCTATCATTATAATATCATGACCATCGATCATTATGATGTTCTAAGAAAGCCAGGACCAGTCACTTCATAAAACTATTTGTTTATGAACAACATTTATGTTGCGTTGATGAATATGAATATGTGGCGAGTGATGACATACCGTTGCCTCTGGTACTTTCAGTTTATCATTTAGCGACAAATCTACATAAACAAAAATGTTTATTTGAACATGAGAATTGTAAATCAATCCGATAAGCCGCCACAAACAGCTCCAGAAGAGTTCTCCTGCGTTATAGGGTTTAGATTTCATTAATGTTTATCAAGATGAAACGATAGTTAAAAAACATTTGGTTCTGTTATGGTAATAGCGACTGATGACATGGATAAAGAGAGCACCAGCCCACTTTATTGCATGGACATGTTTCTTCACCATGACTAACTGAAAATGCATGCAACTTAATAGCGCTTCTTGCGTAGTAAACCAATGTTTGAAAACTAAGGCTTAACAAATGAAAAAAATATTCCCAGATAATCAGAAAACCTATCGTACGCACGTTTCAACGATCCAATGCACCTCGTTCACTTTAATAAAGATGAACTGTGTGTTAATATTAGTCCTCATTTAAAAGTTCCAAACTATTCGACGGGTTGGCCTTGAGTCTCACTTAGATACCTAATTAGGAAACTACGACGGGTTGATGATATTCTAGCGATCATGTCTTCTGCTCTATCATGTCGAGCGGAATTGTCTGAAACTTTGCACAAGCGGAAGCGAAGCGACATGATAAGCGGTTGCACTTTAAGTCGCGGTTTCTTCGACCAGGATTGCCAAACTTTGGCTAGAGCCTTACTTGGTGAGTGAAGTTTCTGATGTTTTCTTATATTGAAGTGTTTAGTAAGGTCAACTTATTTATTTAACTGATCTTTATTACAATATTTTCTTACATTGAAGTGTTTAGTAAGATCTACTTGTTTATTAAACTGATCTTTATCACAATTTGTGTTACGTCGTGAAATCTTGACGATAAATACCAGTAGAATAATAAAAGTTCTTATATTTCATCTGCACACTCATACACGGGATTCCTTACTAATAATGGTTCATCTATTTCCAATTTATAACAGTTTACGGTTTCCTTAGTAATAATTGTTCTTCTATTTCCTATGTATACTCGTACACTGTTCTTCGTCAACACTCATTCTTCTATTTATTACGTAGACTGGTATACGATTTTCTTTGCCTTCAAGTTTGTATCAGTCTGTAAGTTCAAAGATTTAAGCAAGAATTCATGTTCGTTTGATGACAGGGCAGACGCTGGTGCGGGTGGTGGACGGTGAGAGGTTGTCAGGCCGCGTGACGGAGGTGGAGAGCTACCTTGGCGGTGACGACGAAGCTTCCCACAGTCACCACGGCAAAAGAACACCGCGCAATGAACCCATGTACATGCAGCCTGGCACTGCTTATGTCTACGCCATCTACGGCAGCTACCACTGCTTCAATATTTCCAGCAGAGGTATATATAACACCAGACAAGTTTCTCTACTTATGTGTACTGTCTACGCCATCTACGGCAGCTACCACTGCTTCAATATTTCCAGCAGAGGTATATATAATACCAGACAAGTTTCTCTACTTATGTGTACTGAGCAATACAAACGACAACGACTGCTGTGTTGGCCTTCACACCGTATGTTCAATACCTGTATTATGTTAAAGTAAATTATGAGGATACATTTCCTGAAATAGCGCCATTATAGCCATGTTCTCCCAGGTGAGTCCTAAGTACCGCGTAATATACTGCATAATTTCCCGGGACTTTATCATTTAATAAAATGATATATTAGAGACTTTATCGTTTAATATAATGATATGTTTGGGACTGTATTCTTTACTAAAATGATGCATTAATGTTGCGCGAGCAGGCGCCGGGAGCGCGGTGCTCATACGCGCCCTCGAGCCTCTTGAGGGCGAGGAGCGCATGCGCGACCTGAGGGACGCCAAGCGTTCTTCTGCCAAGAGGAACTCGTCGCCGGGCAAGCGGACAACTAGGCTGAAGACGCACCAAATCTGCAATGGGCCTTCCAAGCTCTGTATTGCGCTCAGCATTAATAAAGTGAATACCGTACCTTCTTTAGGAGAGTACACTCGGACCAATGAATATTGGACTATATAAATTCATGACATACCGATGATACAAAATTAGAGGTCGAAGCAGAGTAATTTCATCGTCTATTTGTATACTATTTATTCGGAGATTTTTTAAATTAACCTTTTGGGCTCAAGTATGAAGTTGGCAAGATAATTTTTGTTATTTAAATTACAAAAAAAATAATTTCAGTGTTTTCATTTGGTACATTACTACATTGAATCTCAAAAATTCTCTCCTTATACTTCTCTATTTTCAAATTTACGGTACGTGCGAAGTTATATCTAAGGTGACGGCTATTAATTTGATACCAAGTATTTCTAAGATGCTGCTTCCCCTTTCATTAATTTACATCATAATAATATATAATTTCAGGATGAATGCAACAAACTTGACCTGTGCTCGTCACCAATCCTTTTCCTGGAGGAGGGCACGCATGTTTCTGACAGCGAAGTCGTGACGTGTAAGCGCGTGGGCATCGACCGCGTCGCTCAGCCGTGGCGCGACGCTCCTCTGCGCTACTACGTTCGTGGCTCCTGCTGCGTCAGCGTCCGTGACCGCCTCACTGAAAATATTAGTGGCGACGCTGACCAAACAAACGGGGTAGTGGAGCAAGAAGCGACGTTATCTAAGTCTAGCTGTTGAGTTAGCCATCGTTCAGATAAACGGGGTAGTGCAGCAAGCGGCAAAGTTACCTAAGTCTAGCTGTTGAGTTAGCATCGTTCAGAAGATAAACGGAGTAGTGGAGCAAGAGGCGACGTTACCCAAGTCTAACTGTTGAGTTAGCCATCGTTCAGACAAACGGGGTAGTGGAGCAAGAGGCGACGTTACCCAAGTACTAGAGGAACGTCACGACCGAGCCAATGGTCCCGGACCCGCCCGATCGAGCGTTGGTTCCAGGCTACGCTCGTCGCTGAGTAGGGCCGAACGCCTCTTAAGCCTGAAATCGTTCCAGCGCATATGCAACGCTACCCAAACGCGGTCTGCACCGTGTGAGTTACCCTCGCAAACAAGGCAAAGGATGCGCGCACGCTGCACCTTAGGGTGTGGTGGAAGGTGCGCGGCGCTCGAGAGTTCTCTAAGCTGTTGAGTTAGCATCGTTGTGAATTACTCTTCAACGTGAAGCGATTCTCGACGGTGCGCAACCCGCAACGACGGGTTTTGAGTAACAATCTTATTTCAATTTATTCGCAAGCAACGCAACTCATTACGTTACTAAAAAAATCCAGGTCGTTGAGTAGCAATCGGCGAAAATCGTTCGACTTGTACCCATGATCTTAAATCAACGCAAAGTTTCTCCGCGTCATCCAACTCACTGTTCTCGTAAGCATCTCCATGAGGTAGTAACTATACACGTGAACACTCTCACTTCTTAGTGAGTTTTGGTTTAGCACGAAATTAGAGACTTGACAGTGTTGAGAAATTTTGTGAGTTTGAAATACTCGTTCATAGTTTTATTATCAACAGGAAGTTCGGAATCACATTGTAAGAGTTTTTCTTTATAATTGATATTCTTAAGTTATGTTTACAATGTTTTTCAAATTTTACAAACATTTTTATGTCATTTTCTCGTATTTTAATAACTGTCAATATTCTGTGATCGGAATCGTTCTTCGATGATGTTATGCTTGAAATTACAATTTCTTATAGTAAAATAATTTTTGAGTGATTTGAGTATAGTAGTCTGAGTTGGCATTGTCATCTTAGAATAACTGAAAGAAAATCATAAGTTCTAAGGTCATTGCTACGGTATTTGTTTATTTATTGTTTTCTTGCTACCGATTTGCAGTAATTTTATGCTGCTTCTGTGAAAATGATTCTAGATTTAGCCATTCAAATTGAACTTTACTCTGTTGGTGAAAAGCACCCAGTATATGTATTCTCAAACCAAATAATGCTACACCAAATATTAATAATGTTAATGGTTGTACTTAACTCATCAGGCTGAAATAACCTTTCAGTTCGTTAGTATGCTAACTTCTAGGTTATATAATAACTTAAAACGAAGACTTCGAAGTATGACTGCAAGATACTGATAAGTTATTCTCTCTTATACAAGTGGGCATGAGACACGTGAGTGCGAGTGGGCACAATTTGGTTGCTGTAGACCCATTTCTTGACCACGTCCAGCACGTAGACCACGACCACCAGCACGCTCAGGTACTGGATCCACGCGTGCTTCATCACGTGCCAGAAGCTTGCGACGTACACGTGTTCCTGCTCCACGTACTTCAAGGAGAGTTCCACGCGGAATAAGTCGGTCGGCCCTATAATGCTCATGATGTACTCGTTGCTCAGACGTAGCGTCTCTGTTGAATTAAAATTTGTCTGAATAATTTCAAGATGAAATTAGCTGAGGAACAAGTCTCCCTTGAGACGCGAGAGTTTTTGATGAAAATGACACAATGATTTAACTGCCTGACATGGCAACTTATCATCAGAAGAAATGATCAACGTGACAACTGATTGAAAAGGATCGCCTTCCATCGTGGTTACTAATGTGGAGGCTAGGCACTCATTTTTTTTTTTTTTTGTTTTCTGAGTTTATTTTAGTTTTCTCCTAATTTTTATATGTATGATGAAAGCAATTTCGATCAAAATTCTTAAATACAATGAAATATTATTAACATTAGAGGTAATATTATATATTGACACATAGAATCGTTGAAGGAATAAGCCTCATTAATATTGTCATAGTTTACTTTAAAATATTCCTGCGCCTGATTGTTGAGGTACAATAAGCTTCTGTTTTCTTCTGTTATTAAGTTGTGATATGTTATGTCATTTTACAAACTACCGTAGTCCCTAAGCATTTAGTTTTCCCAATATTCAGATTTTCGAAAACATTGGTATTTAATTTCAGGTCTCAATGTTGTTTGGTCAGTTAGGTTCATTTAAAGAATGTCTGGATTGGCGGTAATCGGGCCAATTGTGAATATGATCCGGAGTTCATACACTGATAAGTTTTAAATGTCGAAAGAAAATTGAACTCTTCATTATTCAGAAGCACTCACGGTTTCTAAGCCAGTATTCTGAGAGTATTTTAACCGGTGACCAGAGCGTTGGGTCGTCAGAGGCAGCGTGGTGCTGCAGCAAATATTGTGTATTGTGCTGGTGCGCTCGTGAGCAGCGCATGCTGTGGCGTTGGTGGAGGATGACGTCACCAAGAACTTTTACTGAAGACATTGGTGCACAACTGCTGCGTTCAAATGCTATGCCTCCGGTAACTGAGATGTCGCAGTGAGACTGTTGGGAAGGGGATCACTATTGATGGTCTCTGAAATTTTCTGTCCATTAAAATAATATATTGTTGTATTTATTTCCACAAATACTTGTAATTATACTGTTAATATCATGCATTTCATAGTTATACTTTTGTAACTTTTTCAGAATGTGTACATTCCTTCTTAGATCATGTCCACTGCATTTTTTTATGAAGCATGCAGCATTTTTATTTTTTATCAGCGATTCACTATAAGGAAGTAAAGGATTATTTTTTAAATGTATGATGTAATAACACCCAAACTGTAATATTGTTAATAAATAATAGTCGCATGAACATGGGAAGGGGTCTTGCTTATGAGTTAATGATACAAGAGAATGTCAAGACTCGGGTCCATGTTGTTAAAAAAATCAACGTGTTACAGATGTATTACTTCCTGAGTATAAAGAGTGTGCGTTGGTATTAAATAGGTATAAAAATTATTAAAAAGGTTTCATTCAAAGGAGGGAAATTCTTGCCAGCAAAGAAGGAAAAATTTCACGTTGCAGCGCATGCATCCTGAGCCTCACATGGAGAGAGTATTCCATGTTGGCCACGAGGTCGACCTGCTGCACTGACTCATGAGGCAAAAGAGGAACCTCCAAAGTTAGTTCCAGTCCGTCTCGCTTGCCGTCGTGATTACTGTCGTACTCGTGCCACTGTTGAGAGCCACATTTTGTTCAAAATTTAGCAATTAAAATTTCAGAATCAAATCGTACTGTAGTATTGTTCCACCGTTTATTTTGAGTCTAAGGCTTTGTAATGTTACGACTCTTCATACCTCTGGATTGCATTTAGCTACTTTTAATTAGACTTAAAGTTACTTTGTGCATTAACTTGCCTTGAGGAAGGGTTGGCGAAGCATCTGTGGATTAAGTGCCCTGAAGGACGGATCCGTGGTCCAGTAGATCACTCCCGACGTCGTGTGCACCACCACCAGCATCTGTTCCATGTACGTCACCTCAGCCTGCTCTTTGTTTCTAAACTCTTCCACCCATAGACCTGCTCGAAGCCCGTGAAATTTGTAGAGGTGGAACTAATTTGCTACTGTTTTTTTTTTCGAAATGATGCATACACAACCATCAACTGGAATAAATTTTTGCAAGCTTAAAGCTTTAATTTCTTCATTTCATCATCTCTTTTAGTCGCAAAATTATACCCTAAAATTTTTTACTCAAATTTCGTACGTTGTGAGAGTTTCTATGAACTTCATCCCAAACAAACTTCCCAACTGATATGCTGTTTTCTTACCTTGCGATCTGTAAGTTATAATCAGTGGCAAAATAACAGATAAAACGAAGCAAAAAAGATAGAAAAATACAGCTCTGCTGCATAATGTAGATCTGTGAACAACTGATTTATTATCAACGTAAACTACAAACGACATCATTCTCAATGTTGTTTACGTATCCATGGTAACCAAGTGGTACCATGATACTGATTGTTAATCCAACTTTACGAAAAACGTAGTTAAAAAAAATTCGTGCTATGCCGGTAGTAATATTATTATATGCATCTCCGCCATCTAGATCGGATTTTAAGTAATATAAAACGTTCTCGTATTTTTGAAAAATAATTCATTGAAGTTTCTGTTCCTATAGTTGTAGTATTAAAATATTGAAACTTATGTTCTGTATGAATTTTTGTATACGAATATTACTTTTAGCAGAGAAACTCAAGATTGCAATAAAGTTGATTCTTTGACAAATTCATTCATAGCTTATATTCTGATTCTGCGGATGAGAATACCTGTCTTCAAGCCCCGGTTAGTTGAGTAAGTTGGCCATTATTTTATGTCACTATATAATTTAACGTATTGTCATTATAACCAGATCAGCCGCTATACATTTTTTTTACTTTTTTATTTTTTTCTCTTTTTCTTTTTGCCACACAATTCCTACTACACACAGCAATCCCCCGATTGTGGTCTTTTCCTGAAATTCCTGTGTGTGTCATTAGTGTATAAAACGGTCTTACATTAGTTGTAGGTAACTAGCCAAAAAACCCTAACCAAACTGAACACAGCCTGACATATCCTAACCTAACCTGTCATAACCTAACCTGTCCTAACCCAACCTGTCCTAACCCAACCTAACCTAACTTAACCTAACCTAACTTATCCAATATCCAATCCTATCAGACCTATCCTAACCTTACCTAACCTACGATAGCCTGAACTAACCTTGCCTTACCTAACATAATTAATTTAAACCTAACCTAACCGCCCTAACGCCCTTTGTCATGGTCGCCATAGGAACTTGTTCCTGTCTTGAACGGTGAACCTAACCTCAGCAAATGACGTATATTTTACGACATGTTTAATTTCCTACCTGAGGCTGTTCCTTTTCCATACCGTCCATAATTGGGTCCATACCGTCCATAATTCTGACAAAAATTCGGTCAATTCTTGTCCAATTTGAAAAATCATATCTCAAGTTCTATAGAAGCTAGGATCATGAAACAGGGTCCTAATTAAAGGCAAAGACTTGTGCTTTATTATTAGTTGTTGAAAAAATCTAGAAAATTTTTCAGTAGAGTTGTGAAGAAAAAAGTAAAAAAGTTGGTAAAAAACATGATCAAAGTTTTGCTCACAACTTTGTGAGTTTTCATTTTTTTGGAAATCTGTATAGAACATAATTTGTGTATCTTCTTGAGACGCGTAGAGGATAAGGCATCAGAATTTCAAAAATCCTTATGGTTTGGCTGTGAGAGTTGAAAAACCACCTAAAAATGGCCGAAAACCATTTTTTCAGGGTCAGCTTTGATCCCCAATTTGGGGATGAAGTTTTGACTTGACATAAAATCGTTCGAAATCCCAAACATACTCCGATCCTTTACCTTTTGTATGAAATCAAGCGCATTGCTCTGAGTTTGCAATTTTTCAAGTTTAAGAGTAAACATTTTACACATGTGACAAAGAAGTTTTTGTGAAATGAATGAGATTGAAAATGTTCATAAGGCTAGCCTTAGCCTTACTTCTTGTCCCGTTGTCCGAGTTCAATTTCACCCATTTGTTTCTAAGGCTATTGCTTAATTTATTTGCTAAAAATCGAGAAAGATGACACATTTTTGAATGCAATTTTTAAAATTACCCTTAGAATATTTTTACCCACAATTTTTTAAATTCTGCCCAAACTTGTAGAGTGAGTAGACATACCAAACTTTGCTTTGGATTTGACTTTGCCACTGTGAATATTCAAGTAGGGTAAATGCACCATATTCCAACATTGTGGGTAAGTCCGACACTTCTCAACTTTTTCCTTTATATTAAGCTTTGTCTTAGTTTCACGCATGCTTATATGGTTGAAATAGTGACGTCATACTATTGCGCGCAATATTTCTGCCAAACACTAGGTCTGGCGGGAAAATATTAAGATCCTCAGAGCAAAAGTCCACGACTCCATGTCACCCAGTGCAAACATCAGAACACATGTCAAAGTTGATAGTAGTTGACCATGCTCTACCGTCTCTACGAAATAGTGATAAACTGTTTGTGTAGAAAGAATATTATTGTTTGAGACTTTTAAACAAGTCTGTGAATATATTAGGAATCCTTTAAGCTTTAAGTATACTTGTATTTGCTGATTTTGAGTAGTAAATAAATTTATAGATGATTAAGTTAAGAGACAGTTTTAGACACATAAAAACCAATTCAAACACAGCTCGGAATTAGACACACACAGCTTGTTTCGAGCTGTGTCATATTCCGATACAGCTCAAACAGGGCGTCGGAATTTCAATACAGGGCGCTGGAATTACGAATTACGTTTTTAAAGCACTTTCGGAAACTCGGAATTAGTCTCACAATATGCTGAATTTAGTCGCACACAGCGTCAGAATTCAGCAATTTTGTAGATTTGCATTCTAAAGGCTTTTAAATAAATATGGCAACTGTTTGTGATGTTTCATCATTGCTGGCGCATAGTGTGCTGTTCTGAGAGTGACGTAAAGCAATCAGAACTCAAGTTGCGCATACGGTGATCTTTATATAGCCATTCATTTCTTGCTATGTCATCAAAGTATCAGAATATGGTGTGTTTACCCTAGGATGAGCTGATGAGGTGACTTGAGGATGGCATGAAAAGTATCTACTTTTTGGCCATAAATAGAGCTCTTAGTCATTTTTGAAGCTGTAAGATTCTTGCTAGATGAATTACTTTCAATCTTTTTGTTAACAATAGTGCTTGATTGGGCAACAAGACTCCAATTTCTCCAAATGTAGTGAAAATTCATCACTTTGGAACTGCAAGATTCTAGTAATGAGTAGGGAAATTTCAATTCTGACTTGAGGTCATGAGGAATGAGGACTTCATCTACAATATCAGGCAGAAATTTCCTAGTAGGGCAGGTATAACGTATACAGGGTGTGTACCAGTCATGGAAAACCTGGAAAGTCATGGAATTTGATTTTTCATTTTCCAGGCCTGGAAAGTTGTGGGATTTCATTTCAGGTTATTGAAAGTCATGATATTTACAAATGAATGAAGGAAAAAATGAAAGTGTTTTTCTGTGCTGCGTGTGTCAACCATTAATGCCTAGCAGTTCCAATGGATTCATAATAAAATTGTAAGATAAAATAATATACGTTTAAAAATTACTTTTTAAAGACAATACTTCTAAAGAATCCAATGTCTCCAATGTTAAAGATGTACAATGAATATCTCATTTTATTTTCGAGTATTGAAAAAATTTAGTTTTCCATTTTTTTAACATATAAATTTTTTGCAAAATTATTTTTTCTATCAATTGATTCATACATTGTCTCCAACTTTACGCAAGTGTGCAAAATTTCAGATCGATAGGATAAGTAGAAGTAGGTTAAATTGCGATTATAAGATTTGTAGCAGACAGACAGACAAACAAGAAGTGAAGTTAAAGAGAAGTGTTGTAATAAATATACAAGGGGATGCATGCATAGGTTTGATACACATCTTGTACATGTTCTGGCAATGTTTGGTTCTGCTGTGCCAACTACTCTCTTTTCAGTTATTATTCAAAGATTACTAGAACCAAATCATAGAAAAGTCATGGAATTTTTTTCTAAATACTGGTACGCACCCTGCATATAAGTATAAACAATCATTTCATAGGTGATTTATTTTGTATTGTATGTAAAAATAGGCTTTTGAACTTCTTTTTTTTTACTAAAGAAATTGAGAAAAAGCTATTGGTATAGTGAAATTAACCATGTTTATGGGAATTTTCGTTCAATTCATGGGTAGCTCCTACCTAATTATTAACACGTTTTTCTTAACTCAGCTTCGTGTTTGTTTGTTTGTTTGTTTGTTTGTTGTTAACATTGAGAACAAAAATTAGCCCACTTCTAATTACTCTAGAGATCTAAAATTCGGCATGCAGGCTATTTTCGCCTAACAATTACAGATACAATCGTAAAATGTCAAATGTAAATGATTAATACAGAACATTTAGGTCTCTAATTTCTAGTTTTTATGATTGTATCTGAAATTGTTAGGCAAAAATAGCCTGCATGCCGAATTTCAGATCTCTAGAGCAATCAGAAGTGGGTTAATTTTTGTTGTCAATGTTAACAACAAACAAACAAACGCGAAGCTGAGTAAAGAAAAACGTGCTAACTAGCAATTAAAGACCTAAATTGGCGTAATTGAGTAAAGTGTATATATATATATAATATATATATAGTATGACGTGCGGGTGCTGACGCTTCGTATCATCGATACGTACGTCAAGTCAAGTAAATTGGCTTGCAACAACGTTTTTCATGTGTAGCAATGGACTAAAAAGGAGAAAATAAAATACTTAAAAAAAAACTTTTTAAAAAACCACGTTTTTCTTGTGGACTAAAAAGTAGAAAATAAATTATGGCTTGCCCCAAAAAACGTGGGTCGGGCTGTACGTTCATGGGCTGAACTGACCAGTTAGGGCTGAACTGACCAGTTAGGACTGAACTGACCAGTTAGGGCTGAACTGACCTGCTGATGAGCCGTCACGCATTCACCTGCAGTTCCCGCTCAAGGTGAGCGACTCGTCGCGGGAAGGAAGGGAAGTCTGGAGCTGAGTATCCAGGATACGGCCAGTGTCATGAGGTCTGAGTAACCTGTTTAGCTACCAGCAATTAGGCGAGTTAAAATGATACGGTCAAATGTTAGTGCTTGCATGCATGCGAACTCTATTCGTTGAAAGGAGTTCATATGCCTTGAGAATTCGTTAAGTTAGATGCTTTAATTATCCGCCTGTGGTGAAAAAATGTTGCGGCACAAATGCTGTGAAGATACATTCAACGCAATTAATTTTTAATAATCTTTTATATGATGATATTAAATTCAGCTCAAAATGTATTCACATTGATAGTAAAAAGAGAGTAAGAAATTTCATTTATATTCATGATCACTATAATGGTGCTTTCGTCTGTCAAGATCCAAAACTAGTACTAAGTTATAAATGATTAGGATTGCGATGAGCTGATTGATATTTATGAAGACTTATTATGAAGCTGATATTTTTACAGACTTTTCTGATAATAGCAAATTAAATTGTCTACGTTACTATGCGGTTATTCTGAACTAACCAGCAGAATTTCAAGTCACGGTAGGCTCTCCTCGTATAATTAAATTACTTTGAAACTTTGGCTGGTAAACTGTTTCAAAAGAGTTTTGCCTCCACATCGGTATTTGATATTAATACACGTGGATATTAATACACGTGGATATTAATACACTGTTGAATGGTTACGCTGGTCGTTGTTTAGTCGCCTGTTGGAGCTGAAATTAGTCTTGCATTTAGTCGCCTGAAATTAGTCGTGCATTTAGTCGCCTGAAATTAATCGTGCATTTAGTCGCCTGAAATTAGTCTTGCATTTAGTCGCCTGAAATTAGTCTTGCATTTAGTCGCCTGAAATTAGTCTTGCATTTAGTCGCCTGAAATTAGTCTTGCATTTCCCACGCGCGCCGACTGAAGGTTGGCGCTGTAGAGCACATCGCTTCCTGTACCTCCTACAGCACTTTCATGCTCACATGTTGACGATGCGAGAAACTTTACAGAGCTTTATTTTATTTTGTCGGTAAAATATGTATAATAATTCCGATGTGTCGCTCCTAATTTTCCATTTATCTCGTTTATTTATTATTTTGCTATAGTTAACTTTTTTCAAACCCATCCGGCGCTGATGTCCCTGATTTTATAACATCATTCAAGTCGTTTGTTACACTTGCTGAATCTAACTTACAATCCTTGTGAAGAAAAATGTTTGGCTCTGAAAATTTGGCATAACATTCTCACATCGTCCGCAAATAGACAACATCGAGGACTTGACGTTCTTGCTGATCACTTTTTGGCGCGATAGCTGAACAGAATTATTCCGGTCAGGGATGATGGAGGAAATTTTTGACTGCGGTTTACACTGCCGTCATCATCACTTAATAGCCATGCGCGTGCGGTCTCGGCCTTGAATTTATGACAAAACAAGCGACATTTCACAAATTCATTCAATTTTTGATTCTGCCACAAATTTTATCTTTTCATTTCAATGTATATTGTATAGGTATCTTTTTTGCCAGTCTCAGCAAGGTTATATATAATTATTCCAGAAACTGGAACGTTTTGTGTTCTCTGTAACCAATTATTATTTGAGCTTTTCAGTTGCGTAAATTTTTGTCAATATTTTCCCGACTCGCTGACGCCGCAAGTGGCCGCTATTCGTCCTACGTTGCTTGCAGCTGCCATTCCCTTACCTGAACCAAAGGTCGACGTAGTTAAGAAAGAATAACCTAAGAAAGAGAACTGGTTTCTTGTGATCCTTGGTTTGTGGTCATACGCATTGCGCTCCTCAGGAAGTTTCTGCTCTGATCTTGCTTGTGATTCTCGTACTTCATGTGCACGTGAAACATAAAAAACATAATTTTTTATCATGAATGTAGCATTACATTTACGCATTCTCTGAATTTAAGTTTCTCTGCTAATCCTAAAGTAAAATCCCATTTATTTTATGCAGATTGTGAGAATGACGCATTAAAACGAAAAAAAAAATTCTACAATATTTTTGTTCTTCGCTGACAATAACAAGAGCTCACGTCAAATATTTGCTAGTGCTAAAAGTGAGACCTTTTGCGAGCTGAGGTAATTACGCTAAATTCAAACCAAAGGAGTGAATTTTCCCAAGTCGACGGTGGGATCATCATTTAAAGCTCGCGGTCGAAACTGACATAATAATTGTGATTTATGGAAGAGACACGGACGGAAATGTTTCCTTGTACTAGGCTTACGTTAATTTACATCAATTAGCAAGGGCAGTAAACAAGCTCCCATGGTCATGGTAATCTACTATTTAACGCTCAACTAGTTACATGACGAAGATTGTCTGAACGAAACTTACATGAGGACTGGAATCTACCCGAGATTGTTCGACATTCAAGACTGCGTTTAAGTTAAATTCGCTGCGCGGTAACTTTCGTAAAATGTTACCCGGAGGACATGCGGATGTCTCCAGCGCACGTCGGCCGGCCTTTAACGCCGCCCCAGCTATATAGAGCTGGAACAATATGAGTACAAGGCCAATGAAGCTATTACCCGTTATAGTTAGTTATACGAGAATGTCAAAATTGCATCATGTCTAAAATAAATTTATTTTAGACATGACCACTTTACGTTCACTCTCCTTGACGATTGTTTAGAATTATACAATTTCACCGGAATATTATTTTTTCTGCTAACCGACGAGAGAATCAGAACGCATACTAATCTTTAATTCAATACAATTTAAGATGTAGAATTTTATCGGAAAAGAAAAGAAACGTTTCCTCTGCGGCAACACGATATAAGTCTATACAGGTATGCACGTTGACCAACAAGCGTAGACGAAACGGCAACGCGTGTAAAAAAATAGGGTCTCTGACATTGAGAGGTGGATCTGGTAAGCCCAGCTACGCGGAAGACGAAAGCTGAACGTTTAAAACTCGATTTGTTTATCGCGATAAGAAGTTGGTGAAGAGTTCAGCCCGAGTTTTAGGGAAGCGAAAGGTCGTTTTTTATGAGGTGAAGGACAACCCAGAGCTTCAGGGCAGCGACGATTATATCCTGGTTGTATGAAAGTGATGAGTGAAGCTTGGTTTTAGGAAAGTGATGAGTGAAGCTTGGTAGTAGTGAAGTGTGATGAGTGAAGCTTGGTTTTAGGGAAGTGATGAGTGAAGCTTGGTACGTAGTAGTGAAGTGTGATGAGTGAAGCTTGGTTTTAGGGAAGTGATGAGTCTGTCTCTTATACCCAAAAAACGTGGGTCGGGCTGTACGTTCACCATCAAATTTCCAAAATTCGTGTGTTGTGTGCTTTTTGCTTTAATCATAAACCTGCCCGACACACTTTTTTGGGGCAAGCCATAATTTATTTTCTACTTTTTAGTCCACAAGAAAAATGTGGTTTTTTTAAAAAGTTTTTTTTAAAGTATTTTATTTTTCAGTTAGGATGATGACAATTTATCTTTCATCACATAGGCATGATAAGGTTCTTGAGCATGTGCTATTGAAGTACAGTATTTATTTTGTAAGCTTTCTTGATAACTGTTTTTTAAAAACATAATTGAACTTCTTGAACTACAATTACTATTTACTAGTTTGGATAGTGGCAAAAAATAGAATGCTCTACTTCTGAATCTAGCCAATGAGAAATATATATGGCAAATATTTTCATATAGGTATCATTGAGACAAAGAACTTCTGTGTGGATGCTCTAGTGACCTAGTCTATAAACTTTGTGGAAAAAAATATGCTAATATAACTTATTTCTAAGATGCTATAAAAGAGCCATATGGATGGGTGAAAATTGAGTGGTTACAAGTATTTTTTACTCATTCCTGCTAGTGCTTAGCAACTACCAGCTTGTCCATTTCAGCAATCTGGTATGTTAAACTAATTTGTCTGAACCACATAGAAAAAAATGAATATCTATATATTGTACCGTATTTGAAATTGTGTGTAAAATATTTATGTAGGTATAACTTTTCATGTATGTCTGTATATTTGAGTTCTGAAAGCTAATTTGATGTTTAAAATGATTTTCCTTTTGTGCAGGAGTTTTGTTGAAGATCAGTTGAACCACAGACAGGAGGATGGGGGGCTTGAATTCAACTTATAAGGGTCCTCTGCCTGACACTGAGGGGCCCATTCTCTTTGATCCCATGTTAGGCTTCCCTGAAGGACGAAAAGTGAGAAGTAAGTTTCTTGAAATTAAAATGTGCGATTTAAATTCTACACCAATTAAGATCAATGTGTCTGACAAGAGATTTTAAAAGTTGCTAATATGAATATATCAACTCTACATGCAGTACTTTAAAGATTAGGAAGTCTGTCCTATTGTTAGGTCTTGTAAAAACTTTGCAAGTGCTATGCATATGGATCAAATTATCCAAGCATTAAATGACTTGGCATATTCATTGGTGGGCATAGAATTCATTGTTAATTTATGAGCATGTACACATTGCATTAGAAGTCACAAATTTTTTTTGTATCTCAGCTAATATTTTTGAGCTTAACAAGTGACCAGTTTTGGATTAATACAGAACATATAAACCACAATTCCTAGAATTTGCGCTTGCCAAGGTGAAATGAAAATCACTCAATGAGTGGCAAAAAAGCATATTACGGTATTCAGCCATTCCATGAGAATATTTCAGTTTGCAAGATTATTCATGGCTGTCCATACCATGTTTATAAGAAATTTTGTAAAAGCTTGATTTATATTAAATTTTGGCTCAAAATTTGAATATTATATTAACTGCTAGCTGTAGTCATGCCTATCAAATCATTCAAATGACCCAAACTTTGGTGCACTATATCCACAACTTAAGACCATGATTTCCTGACTTATTATAAGCTTTTTTTCTTAGAAATGAATATAAAAGCTCACTTATATTTTGTGTGTAGAATGTTTAATAGTTTGGTTGTAGGTTATACACACAATGAATGTGCCTTAATAGTCCCTTTTGTAAGAGCTATAAGCATCAAAGTATTGATGTATTTGCTTGCAATGCATTTTTTCAAATATCAACATCTAAATTGATATAATTTTTCAGGAAAAATATACTCAGTAATTCTACTGAGTAAAAGATAGATGCTTTGTTTAAATATATATATATAGGTATATGTATTTTGTTTGTACACTTGCAAATGTACATGTGTTGCACGTGTGTAAAGAAGCAAATTCTGCCATCTAATTCTAATATATATATATATATGGCACATACCTACCATATATTGGGGCATTTTCATTGATTGCCTATGACTGTCAAAAGCACTCAAAATTTGGAATATTTTGTGCTCCAATTTATTCCAAGTTGGCTGACCTTTGCATAAATTTTCCTAAAAATTTAGTTAGGCAGGTCTGGGTACATGTGACATGGAATGATGTGCTTGAGATGGCTGAACTATGCATGCATATGGTACTTATGACTCAAAAAGTAAGCCATCATTAGTTTTGTTCCTAAGAAGGTTCATCTTACTCAATAGTAACATTGTGCAACAATACCTTAAAATTGCACTTAGAAATTAGGATATCATTCATGTTGTAAGAGCTATTCGAGTTGATGAATGAAACTGCTGATTGTGGAGTGTTCAGCCATCTGGCAGTCCAAATTTGAACTATTAAAACCCTATTTATTGCGCAGAAATGCATGTGACCGAAGATGAGATGGCAAGTGCTATGATTGAGCAGGAGTATCGGAACTACTGCACTCACAAGCTCATTGACCTGCACAGCTGCTTCCAGAAAAATTTTCCAATGAACTGGCGATGTCACCACGAAAAACACGAGTATCTCAACTGTAGCTATGAAGAGTGAGTTCTGGATGGCAACTGCATCTTATATTTTTTCGAGTTTCCTTGCCAATCATGGTCGTTTAATGGGGAATATGCCTCATTATTAATGACTTTGCTTAGTACTGTTGTGAGTGTTGACTGAATCAATGAATGGAAAGGCATGAGATAGGTATATACACCAAAATTTTAAAAAACAAAGATGTAAATTCACCATATTTTTATCAAAAACAACTTGGAGATTTACGTCATCATTTCATTTAAAAAAATTTGTGGAATACCAGTAACATCTGTATTTTGAAATACAGTAAAATTGAAGGGAGTTAAAAAATTTCCTTATTTTTATGAGGTAATGGATAAAAAAACCTACATAGCACAAAAACAATTAGGCGTTTTGACAACAAATTAAAAATAATTTCAAATAAACATTCATACTCGGCTTTATCAACTCTCTTTACGATTTCAGATACTTTCTTTATGATATCATTGATTGAATTCTGATAACAAAATCATATGCTACATTTAACATATTATTTTAATCGCTCAATACATGATTTTCATAAATCTGAACATTGGCGTCAGACGAGCAATGAATGTTCTAGCCAAGTGGTCCTCCAGTGCACTTGTAATTTGAACGAAAACTATTTGTAACAAGAGTGAGTAAGATGGACTGTTGGACCACTTTATTTGTGGATGAATCTTGTTTATTCATGTCGAGGGTTTAATTTAGTCATCTTGGAAATTATTTTTGGGGATTAGCATTTTGACAACATTTAATTTTTTAACTTAACTTTTCAGATTGAATTTGATAAACGGGATGCAGGAAGTCTCATATTTATATTTTCTTTGACTTCAACTATTAATTATTTTAATTTTTCAACTTCACGTTGAAATTGCTTCATGCAAAAGCTCGTAAGCATTTTTCTTGAGCGTAATCATGTTGCTGATGAACCTTGCGTGTTTGTGAATTATCCCTACCCTCAATAATTTTAGTACTCAAATATACCAGTCTAAAGGCTAAGTTGCATTCATAAAAATGCTGTATTTATATTAGCTCTGTATTTATATCAGATTATTTTGCAAGGAAGGTCTGTATTAAAATATCGGTTATTTTAGTATGGAATAATACGTATGGAATACATAACTTGACAGATGTAAACAGTGTACTAATGTCAAAGTGACAATAACGCGACACTTGTAGTTAGCAGCTAACACATTTATATTTTACTATAACATTTTGATTGTGCTTGCATTAACATCCTTACATTTTGTACAGCCAAATCCTTCGCTTCAAGGAGTACGAAAGAGAGAGACGGCTGCTTGACCGGCAAGCCAAGAAGGAGGCTCGAGCCAAGAGACTGGCAGCTGAGGAGCTTCATGAGTGAAATAATCAAGGGATTACATTTTTTGTGTTTATTGTTTAGTCAAATCAATCACACAACTTCGGGTTAGGCATTGTCATTTTGGTCCAATATTGCGATTATTTTGCTTTTCAATTTACAAGTGTTTCATTCAATGTTATTCCTGAAGTGTTCGTTTTGAATCGAATTGCTAATAATGGTGAAAATTTTCTCACGATCTTGACACTTACCGAGCCTTAGTTTGGGTTTGTGTTATGAATTAACTTGAGATGTTGCTAAACTCACAGCCCTGTTGATAGTGTTTTCGATCTTAGTAAAAGTAATGTGCTAATCCAACTTATTTATTTATTCTTATTTTCATGCGCAAAACAATAGTAGTAATGGCTGAAATTTCGATGACCTCTGTACATAACTACAGTATATAGTTGAAAATTTCGGAAATTTTTTATCCTTGGTTCTTCGTATCTTTATTTCAGGCTTTTCAAGTTTATGCTGAGCATTTGTAATTTATTCTGGTGAAAAAGTTTGCAAATTGTATTGAGTTTGTTTTTAATTCCCTACATTAGTAGACAGGGTTCCAATAGATTATTCTACGAGAATATCCAATAGATGTCTACGATTATTCTACGACATGAGCGATACTCTGAAAATTTTTCGAACAGTTCAGTTCTAAGTCATCGGGTTAGTTATTTGTGGTTGTGGTTAGCGGTTCGAAGCGAATTTTTGCGTGGAATCGCATTCTCAGGCTGATCTTAATCTTGATGAGAACCTTACCTCTCACAGGAGTCGCACTGATATTGAGCTACGACGATCCGTGCTATATTATTTAATTCAATATAAACGTTCAAATTGTGTTCTTTTTGCGATTTTCGTTGGTTATGTATCACTGGTCTCAGTTTCTTTCGTGTTGTTCTTGAAGATGAAAAATGAAAGTTCCAGGCTCCAACGACAAGCATTCGTGCTATACACTGAGGGTTTGCATAAACCCTTCAACTGTGCGAAAAGCATTTCATGGGATTTGATTTTTTTCAAAGATTTGATGTTCTATTAGAACTCACAACGAACACGCTTCAGTTCTATACTTTTTTGGAGTATTATATCACGCCTAAGTGAATTTGTTTTTTGGCCGCTCATGAATAAGTTAATTTATGTGAAATGTTTTGTCGCGAATGTTCGAGCTGCATGTAAAGTTTTAAGAGTAGTTAATTTCGCTTGCGAGCTCTATGTACAAGTGGTTAATTAGTAATAATAGATTCGGCGCACCCACGTAATTACAGTATAATTGATAAATTAATGCGCGTGTTTGTGGTCTATGAGAATACGTACCGGAGAATTTAATTATCTAATTTGTTATAGGCTCGTTAACGATTTAATTAACTATAATTAGTTGAACGCGCAATTAATAATGCATTGCCTGGATCTACTTCTTTCAAGTCAGAAACTCTTTAGAATGCACGGTAAGTTGAGCCATAATCCCGGCATCTGAGTTTCACCGTATGCTATTAGCCGACCGGCAGGCTTGTATATAGATTCTTGAGCTATCGTGCAGATATTAATTATCAGTGAATGAAGACCCTATCATCGATTTTGCGTAGAAAGTTTTCTGCTTTGTCGTGTGGTAAATTTGACCAGTAATGTGTTACGAAAACTAAAAACTTCGTTATCATCCAAAGCAACATTTATCCCATTATCGGTGCAAACATCCATGCCACATATTGATGAGGTACCAACGAGGTTGCGATCCCAGTGAAAGTGTTTCATTAATATATATTTTCGAAACTATGACTAATCTGGAATCATCACATCGTTTTGAGAGCGAAGTATAACCAGCTGATCTGTCCGACCGACTGGTTTCAGTTTCTGAACTATATTTGCTATTTCTGGCAAGACATTGATTTTTATTTAATGTTTTATTTGCCTGCTCAATATCGTATCTGCGTCATAGACCTTTCCCGTCAATGACACAAGAGTCGCCATACCGCAGATACTGCACTTAACTCACCACCTGTTCATAAATACTGTTTATGTAATACTGGTCAGAACTAATATTTGCAAGGTTCGCTTACCACAGATTAGCTACGAAGCGGTTTCGATCTCGCTAGAGACTTGTTTAAGTTTTGTTTATTAAGTAGATCTTTCATAATTAAGGATGACAACTGAAATGCTGCGGCGGATGAAGTGGATTGTTTTTACCTGAACCGTATAGGGATTTTAATGCAGCTCTTGTTTAGTTTGATACTACTGAAAAATGTACCATTCCCACCTAACGAGAGAAGCTTATCACGTTGTTTCTCCGTTTATTGAGCTAAGTTTTGTGTGTCGGTTAGAAGTAGCGACGTCTAAAATAGTTCGGTAATTAGTCATTAACTTTTAAATCTGAGTATTTTTACGCACACGATTGTTGTAGGATTTTAAATTTGCAATTCTCCACCAATTATCGACCATTAATAAACTATTTCAAGCGCAGGATAATTTTTGGCCACAATATGCCCATTTTACCATTTTCCTGGGATATTGATTGATTCTCATTGTTTACAGTGTTTTTTGTAATTTTTGATGCAATAGTCTAGAAATATTCAGTTATTACATAAAGCCTTCAGCAATTCATAGCGCAACGTTGATTCAGTTGCCGGTACTAAAAAAAAAATCGACCTTGCATTTCCATATCCTGCTCGAAGACGAGCCCTCGGATACGGCGATATCTATGTTCATGTAGAAAAAGAATACTGTTGGAAATATTACAAGAAACGGCGTCCTTGTGACTACAAACTCACCAGCAAAGCCCAGGTAAGTGTTCGTAACGAGTCCGACCTCAGCGCTTATGACATAGACTAGAACTCCTTGCTTCATGCCTGTGGTTTTGCCGCTTCTAACGCGCAGCTTGGTGAAAGTCCTACAAACCACGAGTGAATGACCTTCAGTAGTAAGTTATTATTTAACATCCTAATTAACCTCTCATGGGAAGCCTTATGCGCTGCTCTGTTGAACGGTTCATGAAGAATGATTGTGTCTGTGATGAAATAGGCGGTGAAATCAACTACGTACCTTCGCAGGGTGCTTCTCGATCTTCTATAAACATCATTGTCTCTCGGCAGTTTGTGTACTATGAATTCTTTTCTCTACCAATGAATAGTAAATAGTCTAGCCCTAATTCAAGATTGCTTCAAGACGTGGCTAAACTGGCTATTTCATCATTTTATCGCCGGGATACCGTGAACAAATTGTTCAAGATTGCTTCAACACTTGGGATCTTCCCCTAAGGCGCCGATTATACGACCAGCTGCTTTGGAGGGACATTATATGTATGATGTACATGAATATTTCAGCCCGTCTTCCTGAATGAATGGAAATACGGAAGGTAGATGATCAAGGCTGTGGCGTGGAAGTCCCGGAGAGCGCCTTGAAAGGTTATCCCAACTGACCTTTCCACTCTAGGCTAATATTAAAAAAATGTTCTCACTTCCCGTCAGGTAATTAAAAAGCATACTTCCTCGACCACGTATAAAAAAATTTAGTGTCTACTGTCTTTTCATAATTGCGTGCTAGGTGTGACCTTTTGATGTGTCCGCTTTTCATATTCTTAGATTAAATTTTACTTGATTCTAAACCTTCAAGAAAATACAATCTTTCATTTCATTGTGGTGTCCATATGTCGGTAGAATAGAAGGTCTTATTTTCTTACTATGATTTCATTGCTACGTGCTTGTGCACTTGCGGTAAATACTTCCGCAGTGCAGCTTGTAACTGGGACATTGGGGTTAGACTACAACTCGCGGCTTGACGACATTGCTTCAATCTAGAGGCAATGTTCATCAAAACCTTACATTGGCAAATCTTAAAGCCTGGTCACGTCTCGTGGGCAAAGTGCATTGCGAATGATTGATTGGATACCGCATAAATTATGAAGTATTCTCTACTTCCGACTCCAAATAAGAAGAAGTAAATAGCTTGATATCGGTAATGTTTTGAACATAATTTCTAATTTGGATGCTGGGCATACAAGTTCACGTGGCTTCCATGTCGGCTTCCATGTCTATGATGTTAATCGGGAGTTGTTTTTGCGTTTGCAAGTCAGTCGAAGTAAGGATTCCGACGATCTAGCTTATGAGGCGAAGACAGTTTGATTATATGTAGTCGAACTATAAAGCATGTTGAAATTCCTACACGAATGTGGGTTTTAAAATACGGACAGAGACCTCTTTGAACAACATTGATAAACGCCTTTATGCGGTAAATCTTCATTGACAAACGCAGAGCTAGAAGACTTATTCGTCAGTGGCCACCTCAGTCCTTACCAATGTTTCTCTAATTGTTGGTGACTTTTTGAAAGATAATGCGGCTTCTTTTCCTCCCGTGAACATCTTTTCCACCCAATGACTGCAGTTGCGCGTCCTAAATCTCTGACGTTATAATTGCTTCGATAATCTCTATTGCGACATTGTATGTATTAGTATTGCGTTACGCCTGAATTCCTGATGTTACGCTTATATTTATTACGTTACTGTTTTCATCGAGTTACGTTTCCAAGCATAAGGGTACGTTTGTACGCATTTCATTACGTTATTACGCATTAAGGTAGGTTTGCACGCATTTCATTACGTTATTACGCATTAAGGTAGGTTTGCACGCATTTCATTACGTTATTACGCATTACGTCCGTTTGTACGCATTTCATTACGTTACTACGCATTAAGGTACGTTTGTACGCATTTCATAACGTTAGTACGCATTAAGGTACGTTTGTACGCATTTCATTACGTTAGTACGCATTAGGGTGCGTTTTGCGATTGTTCGTAAGCATTTTAGGTTAGGCGTTATTTAGGCCTTTTTGACGTTTTTTATGCATTTTCCGTTCCGTTATGCCTATACGTGCGTTTTTTTGCACGCTTTTACCTTTCTATGAATTCTGCTAAGTTACTTTTCAATCTGCATCGTTTCTACTGAGATTTTCGCTTTCTTATGTGCACTTTTGCGATTCTTTATATTTCGATGAGTATCGTTGCGCTTGAATGCATTCCGATGCCTTTTTGTGCATTCCGTTGCGTTTTATATTACGTTTTTATGAATTCAGCTGCATTTTTGTGCATTCTGTAGCGTTTTTTTTCTTATGGATTTTCGTCTGTCAAGATTATTTCGTCTTATTTTGTCTGTCAAGATTTTTCACCTGCATTTTTGTTACTTTTTGTGCATTCTGCTGCATTTTTGTGCATTCTGTAGCGTTTTTATGCATTCCGTTGCGTTTTATGCATTCTGTTCTGTTTTTATGCAAGCTGTTCCGTTTCTGTACATGCCGTAGCCATCTGTTACGTTCCCAGCAATTTTTTCCGCAATTGCATAAAGTTTCTATGCACCTAACACAATTTTGTGCTCAAGGAATTTAAAAGCAAAGAAAACGCCAAGAAAATTCACCATATCGATATTGAAAACGTTTCGGAGTCCAGCTCCATCATGATGGAGCTGGACTCCGAAACGTTTTCAATATCGATATGGTGAATTTTCTTGGCGTTTTCTTTGCTTTTAAATTCCTTGTAAACTTGCGATATAAGCAGACTAATAATATAAGTAATTTTGTGCTCCATGTACACTCCTCTATTATTCAATTTCCGAGTAATCCAGTTCACATTAATTGTTATGCCCGTGCTTTAAATGGATGAACCGTTAGGCTGAACTGACCAGTTGGGCTGGACTGACCAGTTGGGCTGGACTGACCAGTTGGGCTGGACTGACCAGTTGGTCTGAACTGACCAGTTGGGCTGAACTGACCAGTTGGTAATCTTGGTTGTAGGGAAGTGATGAGTGAAGCTTGGTTTTAGGAAAGTGATGAGTGAATCTTGGTTGTAGGGAAGTGATGAGTGAATCTTGGTTGTAGGGAAGTAATGAGTGAATTTTGGTCGTAGGAATGTAATGAGTAAATCTTGGTTGTATGAAAGTGTTGAGTGAATCTTGGTTGTGTAGAAACGATGAGTGAATCTTGGACTCTTGGTTTTGGCGAAGCGAATAAGTGATCGAGTTAACGAATAAGTTAGTATAAGAGATGACGAATAAGTGATTGCTTCAAATAGGTGATCGCTAAATCTTGGACTTTTGGATGTGATGTGCAAGCTTGATTATTTATCGAGTGTGGGCAAACTGGGGCTTATTTGAGAGTGCAGATAGACGGGAGCTTAGTTAAAGGTGGATAGATAGGATCGAGCTTAGTTGAGGGTTTATAGGCTGGGGCTTAATTGAGGGTGGATAGATTGGGGCTTGATTGAGGATGGGTTATAGACTGGGGCTTGATTGAGGGTGGTTTATAGACAGGGGCTTGATTGAGGGTGGTTTATAGACAGGGGCTTGATTGAGGGTGGATAGACTGGGGCTTGATTGAGGGTGGATAGACTGGGGCTTAATTCGGGGTAGATAGACTAGGGCTTAATTGAAAGAGAATAGGCTAGGACGTAATTAAGTATGGGTAAGTAGAGGTTTAATGGAGGGCGAACAAACTAGAGTTTCATGGAGGTGTTTAGGTAAGCTGAGTCTTGTGGGAAGTTATGCTATGCGCGTGTAAAGGGAAGAGGTTGTTGAATTAGCTGCCGTCTTTAACGAATAATAATTAGGCTACAGTTGTTAAAGAATTAGCAGCTCGGCAGCGTATGGAGGCACTCGTGTCAGCGATGGACATCTCTTGGAGCACTCACGTATACCATGCCTGGGTTTGAGGCCCATGCCTGGGTTTGAAGTCCATGCCCATAACTCGTCAGAAGTGGGCCAGGGTTCCATGTACATCAGGTATGCTGGCCAGGTGAGGAGACTTCAGGACTTCTAGGATAAAGATAAACTGACCGGCGCGACGTGTCACGTCGCCGTCAAGGACGGTGAACGGATGACATCGTTGCCTCCGCGACTGCGGAATGGACAACCTGACCTTGCCTGGTGGTGATCGCGGCGAACGTTACGACACTTGCAGAGGATGTGTAGTAACGACTAAATGTTACTGACCTGATTTTGTTCGTTCCTTTAAAAGAAAATGTAAGAAGACGCAAGTAAATTGCAGCACAAAGGTATTGAACGGAAGGTATAGTGCCAAGTGTCAACCTCAGGAGAAAATGCGGCTAGTGAAAACGTCTTCGAATTCTTGGGATAACGAACAAATTAGACGAAATTATGAGTATTTTCAAGCCATTGACCGAAATAGTCATCTGCATTGTCCACGTCTGCTGTTGGTGAGCTTTTTTTAAGGCCTGACGAGCGAAGATTGTCGGTGAGAACCTCTTTTATTAAGTAATTGTCACTCGTGTCTTGCACGTGCCTGCTACACTTATATTGCCTAATCATGTTCTCATGAGAATTTCTCACGGTAATTAACTAGCATTGCATAAACGTCAGCATCGAGAGGACCCCTAGGTTTGCACGGTCATTGCCTATCGTCGAGAGTTTGGCGGTAGAAGTCGTCAACAAATGCAAGAGTTTCTTTCACGGAACCTCCAAGCTCAACGTAGCTCAATTTAACTCCATCAATAACCGTGATCGATTTAATGCTTCGTCGTGGCAGCCTCTTAATGCATTTTTTCAAACTTAATAGCCTATTATTAGTGGAAGTGCACCTCCTATATTATTCCCCGTAGTTCATCAGTCTCGGAAAACTCGTTTCGGTTCGTGCAATATAAAGAAATATGAACGGGCTTAAAATTTTGCAGTTTTTTTTAAATTTTGGGCGGGAAAATGCGTTTTGTTGCCAATAAATGAAAGAGAATTACTGTTTTGTATTAAACAATACCTAGAGAAAATGATTCGGTAATTTGCGTAAA